CACATTTTCCAGAAAGCCTTCCAGCCACAGGAAATAAGAATCAGTGGTGACGATCACGTCTGAATATGAGCTGATATTTATTTCTGTGCTTCACCATAAACTATTTAAATGATCGCAGAATAAACTGTGTTTATCAGGCAGGGAAGGCCAGGCCAACTGCTGCAGCAGCTCCTGTTTCCTGGGGAAAGATTACAGCGACACTCCAAACACATTTCCTCTCTGGGCACCGGACCGGGCTAATCTCTGAGCTCCGAGTTTCCTGAGGGGTGAAGAAAGGTCATCTGAGCTCAGAGAAGGAAAATATGATTTAATGACTGGGAACACACGCAGTGGTGTTTCCATCACCTCAGAGGACATCACACTGAGATTTATTTCCTTCAGGCTTAACCTTAAACTAACCTTAATCTCACTTTAAAATAACATTAATCCCAGGAGACACAGAAAAATTTATCTGCCTTACAGAGGCTGCTGTGGTTTCAGACATGCAGAGTCGTGTTTCAATCATTTCCAGCAGGAAGATATTAAAGAAAACTTATTTTCATTAGACTTAACTTAATGTCAGTTTAAACCTTAATATAACTTAATATAAAATATCTTTATTTGTGCAGAGTCAGGACCTTACATTGAGTTTTTTTTAATACTTTTTAATTTTACTCTTTTTAAACAAATATCTGTACTTTCTACTCCTTAAATTTCCAAAGCAGACTAATTACTTTTGCCATAACACATTTGAGGGGAGCTATTATGTCATCACTCACATCAGTTCCTCACGTCAAACACATGAAAGGAAATCCTGTTCACTTATTAATCTCCAGGAGATGTGGCATAAAAAGAGATGACTATGCCAAAGTCACAGGTTAAAGTGGGACAGTGTTTTTTTGTGTGTGGGGTGGGGGGTGGGGTGGGGGTTACCACAACCACTGCAGGTGTCCATAAGCTGTGTGTTTGTGGTACTTCAGCATCTAGTCTTCGTTTTTTTTAAATCAGATATCAGGTCTGTACATGTGAAATTATGTTTTTTCATATTGTGAAACATGCTGCTAAACAAACTGAGGCAGACAAACTGTGTTATTTGAAATCCTCTGCAGGTTAGTGCAGGATAAATAGGTTAGTTTTCTGCACTGTGATGGATTTAAAGTAGGGGTGGGAATTTAACACGTTAATTGCTATTCATTTTTTTTTTTGAACAAATAACACATTCAAAAAATTAATGCATTTAATTGCAATTTGTATTCCAAGCAAAGGGGAACTTTTGTCAATGCACAATTTCCTGGTATACTGAATACACTGAGGCACACATCAGAGCGACTGTGCTTGACCCATGCTTTAAGGATTTAGAGTGTCTTGCAAGGGGAGAGCGAAAAGAGGTTTGGACCAGCCTTGAGGCCCTGCTGCAGGAACAGTGTAAAGATGCCATCACAAAGGAGCCAGCAAAGACAAAGACAAAGAGCCTCCTCTCCTCTTCGTTGTTTTCAGACTCTGATTCAGATGAGGAAGCCCTGTGTAACAGAGTTTGTACAGAGCAGAATCCACCATCAGCAAGACAGACTGCCCGCTGCAGTGGTGGTCCAGTCGAGCAGGGACCCACCCACAGCTGTCTGTCCTGGCCTGCAAGTATTTGATTAGTCCTGCCACTTCTGTCAGATGTGAGAGACTGTTCTCAGTTGCAGGTCACAGTAACAAAAAAGAAAGCTACCTTCAGCTCAGAAAATGTGAACAGACTAGTTTGTCTAAGTAACTGGCTGAAGAAGACGGACAGTAAATAACCATGGAGGTATTGTGAGTCCAGTGGGTTTGTTATGTTTTGCACTAAAATGTTCAATGATCACACTGTTTTAACCTAATGTACAAAATAAGGTTACTTAGCGTTTAAAGGTGAAGCTGTTGAAATAACCTTTTATGTTTCTGCCTTATCTTTTTTAAGAAGAAAACCTGCACTTTATGTTGACATTTTTATTATTATTATTGTAAGACAATACAATTTTGAAAATGTACTTAAAATGGCACTTTATTGTTAAGTCTGCCCAATTTTGAACAGGGATGTTAGGTTTCTCTGTTTTGGATTGAGTTAAATCCTTTTTTTTCTTCCAGAAATTAAAAGAGGTTGAGTTACAATACATGTCCATGTCTATTATTTGATTCTGTCACCCACTAAAACCCTTTTCAATTTAAAAAAAAAAAAAAGCACTCTTGGACAAATTTTCTTGTGTGATTAAATGCGATTATTCGAGATTAATTAATTATAAAGTCGCTAATTAATTAGATTAATTTTTTTATTTGAGTCCCACCTAATGCTCAAACCGGTGCTTAAAGAATGGAGAGCACAAAATTGGTCCAAAAACCTCTCATGTTCAGCTGTTTTTTTGTAAAAAGATAACAATGTTAGACTTTTCTGCAGCTATGGGGCATATATGGTATCACTCTTCGCTGGAAGCAGTGCTTAAACAATGGACAAACACAAACTTTGTCCAAAAACCTCTCATGTTTAATTGTTTTCCACTTTTTCTTTGGTCATTTTAGCCTTTTTGGCCAGGGTGAAGGGAGTATCTGCCATCAAACAAGAAGACAGCCGCATGTAACTATGATAATGTTTGCTAGTTCACCTTACATGCATTAATGTAATAACGTGGTTAGCCTACTCAACGTAAATTACACACGGACAACATTAAGCTACTCATGCAGAGAAGAACGGCTGCTGCTGCATCATCATCCGTCATCATTTCCGCTACACTGGCAGGGCTAGGGGCTAAGACTCTGCTCTTCGGGTTTTTGGGGGATGTTGCAAACTCCGGGTCCGATAACAGGCACCACACCCGCAGTAGATGTGCTCGGTGTGAGGTCTCGCAGCAAGCTATCAAATACGGCGCATTTCTCGGCTTTTAAAAAAAGAAACGCTATGCGTCGCCAGGTGTTTCATCGGATTTGAGGAGTTACCTCCTTTGACAAGTATCACCTTAAACCACTTGTTGCAGGCTGCTGAGTTTGCATATTTTGCTGTGAAGTACAGCCAGACTTTTGACCGCTTCGCCTTGGGCATTTTAATCTGTAGCTCTGCCCTAAAAGAACGTACGTACCTGGACCCGCCTACTATCCTCAGAAACGGAAAATGATTGGCTAGAATCGAAAGTGTATCACAGCTCAGGAAAAAAAAAGCACCGAAATAAAGCACCGAAATGTGCGCTGCTTTTCGGTCTGGTTACTACCGTTTATGTCAGAACCGGTGCGATACCGGTACCCATCCCTAGCCAAGTGCTGGCTTTTTAAGTAAAGGTTTAAATACTGCCAGCTTGAAGGCCTGTGGTGCATAGCCAATTATTAGAGATAGGCCGATCATATTTAAGATTGAAGCATTAATTAATGGCAGGACTTCTTTGAGCAGTTTTGTAGGAATGGGGTCAAAAAGACACGATGGTTTGGAGAAGTAATTACTGAAGTTAACTCAGAAAGATTAATTGGAGTAAAAGACTAAATAAATAGTGTTACATCTGTGCGAGGATTATGAATATTTCTTTCTCTAATAGTTAAAATTTTATTTGTGAAGAAGTTCATTAAGTCATTATTACTAGTTGGTCTTTAGTTTGTCTCTTTGGGAGCTGACACAGGCGATGGGGCTTTGGGGGGATAACAGGAGAGAAGCTGCAGAGAGGCGTGTAAGACTGCAACTCTGTTTCCTGGTCCAAACTCTGGATAGTCACGTTTTGGTGGTTTTAATAAATTTGACCAGATTTCTAGAAATGAAAGCTGCTCCATCCAATGTGGGACGGATACCATCTCTCCTAACAAGACCAGGTTTCCCTCAGAAAGTTACCCAATTATCTATAAAGCCCACATCATCAAAATAAGCTGGCAGGCAGTGTTCGTGTTGCTTGTATGTGGTAATGTGAAGTTAAAGGCGCTGAAAACAGCCGAAGCGTGAGTGAAACTCCAGCTGTGTGTTTAGAAGTTGGTTTCCTCGCCTCCTGATTGGGTAGGCCTTCAGAAATTTTAACAACACTCAGGGGGAAACACAAGGTTTTCTGCTGTTTTAAAGACGACATGTTCACATGCCAAGCTGACCTCAATATAGAAAGAAAGCAAATTCACCTGAGAATTCAGGTGTGTGACAGAAAACAACAGGAGTGTTCAGCAGAGCAGGAGAAATGCGTCTGAGGGTGTCCTCCATCAGATTCCTGTTAATGTGTGTGTGTGTGCGCGCATGTGTTTCCTATTTAAACTGACCTCATTCCTCAGAGCGGGGGCTGCATGACATCATGCTGCTCGCTGCTGTCGATGGATGAAACTTTTCTGCACGATGACAGAAAAAAAGAAGTCTCCTGATGTCTGAAAGATAAACAGAGAGCAGACGTGAACTTTTATTTTGGCACTCTTTGGCAGAACAGGAAACTGGGTCACGAAATGTTGGAAATCAAATTCAGCTGAACGTGACTTTAAATTAATCAAAACCAGCTGTTGACATCTGTTCACTGATGCTCCACACGTCACAGAATCAAAATACCACAACAGCGCACGTAAAAGTATAAAAATAAAATCATCTACAGTCATGATACAAAGAAAGTTAAAAACAACCTCATATGAAAACAACCATGACACATTACACCGTGTCTTTATTTAATTAATGAAACTAAGTCCATCTCACATTTCAGCAGCAGTAAGTTGCACTGATGGTTCCTGTGTGACTTCATCAGTCCGTCTCATCTCTGCGGGGGATTTTTAGTCCACTCTTTTTCACAGCCATGCTTTAGTTCATTGAGGTTTGCAGCATTCATTCATGCACAGCTCTCTGAGCTCTGCAGCCCTTCTAAACAGCCATACCTCTTAGTCTTTTTCTAATTGCACTGTCATGAACTTTGACTTTTAACCTGCTAACTGATGCTTGTAGAGTCTGAGATGTAGTTCTTGGTTTTGTTGCTCAGTCTGACCTTAGGGTGGATTTGCTAGAGCACTCAATCCTGGAAAGACACTCACATTAAAACACCTGAATGACTCTGTATTTATTTCAGACTCCAAAGCCATCGTGGATGGGAATCTGAAGCTGATCCTGGGTCTGATCTGGACCCTGATCCTCCACTACTCCATCTCCATGCCCATGTGGGAGGACGAGGATGACGAAGACGCCAAGAAACTGACTCCTAAACAGCGTCTGCTGGGCTGGATCCAGAACAAGGTGCCCCAGCTCCCCATCACCAACTTCCACCGAGACTGGAGGGACGGCAAGGCGCTGGGAGCTCTGGTGGACAACTGCGCCCCCGGTAGGATCCCGCCGACACTGCACACAGTGTGCAGAGACGCTGATGTTTAAGTTAAAAATGATCAGTAAAAGTAGTTTAAATGTTTCTTTAAGACAGGAAGCTGACTGAGTTTGGTTCCTGTGATTTAAAGAAAAGCGGCTGCTGTTTTCCTGGAAGCTGAGGAAAGCTTCCAGGAAAATATAGACGCTGTCAAAGAAAAACTTTCCCTGAAGCCGTCAAACTGTCAGTTAAAGTGAACATGTGCTTAAATAATCTGTGAGCTGATGTGAAGCAGCTGCTAAATCTAAACTATCGATTTGTTCCTGTGTCAAAGTTTTCTCCAGAAAACCTGATATTTAACTTCCTGTATCAATGTCTGGAGGGTTTGGTCATCGGCTGAGTGCTTCGCTCTGGAACTGATCCAGCCCCGCTAACCTGGAGTCAGGCTGTAAAAATCTCCTGACTTTGCAGGAAAAGTTGAAATCTTCACATGGAAGTTTGTACAGCACACTTGGGGAGGAGTTAATCCTCTTATCAGCTTCAGGCTCAGAGTGTTTCTGTGTTTCTGCTTCATGTCAGCAGCTTCAGGAAACAAGCAGCAGCTGAAATCTGCAGTTTCTGCTCTGATCCTCATCAGAGAGCAGCGAAGGACAAATATGTATAACTCATCAGCTTTAATGTTCAGCTAATTTTGAGTTTTTCAGTCCAGGGTGAGGTGTGCCGGATATTTTCTGATCTCATTTTTGAGTTTGTGAAGCTTATTATGCAGCCAGAGGCTCGTTACCTTTGTGGAAATGTGTTCAAGTAATTTATGAGGACAAAGTGTGTGTGCTCAGGGCTGATTACAAGAAACTGGCTGAACATATTGTTCCATATTTTTTGTTTTCATCATCATTTCTCTCTGATTAAGGTCTAACAGAAGAATCCTCCTGTTTTATGTTAAATAACAGTCACATATTTTATTCATGTTTTCTTCTCCAGTTTCATAAATGCTTTTTCTTTTTTCTCTTTCATCATCGGAAACTTTTATCTTTAATATTTCCGTATAACAGACCTGCATTAACTAACTGCAACACCTCCTCCATTTCCAGTTCATAGTCAGCACTAAACTGTGAAAATATTTACAAATGATTCAAAGTGCATTAAAATAGAAATGTTGAGAAGATCTTGTTACTTTGACTCTGTAAGTCTGACCCTCGACGAGGTTTGATGATGAGCGCCTGCTGCCTCTGTTTGTATGTAAAACCAACAAGAACTGAAATGAGTAAACCGGCTCAATCAAAATAAAACCTGTAATAACTAAACCTACAGTTTCATTACAAAGCTGGTTTCTCAGATTACAAAGTAAACCCGTTCATCCATTTATAAATATAAAATACAGACATAATTACAACAAATTTTAGACATTTGTTTGTTTTCTCAAGAATATTCTGTAATTTCACAGTGAAGCATATGCGAGTTAGAGAAAATTGTGCACATGAAACAGAAGTAGTCAAAGTGTCTTTTAATTATAAAGTACTCTGTAGTCAAAGTCCATAAAGAGCCCATATCACATATTTTTATGTTCATAATTTAATATGTGGCATAAATCGAATACGTAGTTTTTTTCATGTTAGTTTGATGTTAACTCCCAAACATTGTCTCTTATGGAAATGAACTCGTGTCAGACATGTTCTGAGTTTCTAAAGCTTGAACAAAAAGGAACTCGCTACACAAATCAAGGAAAAATAAATCTTATTTTGAAATATTTTCTCTGCAAACTGTTAAGCAGGAGCTCATCGGATGTTCTGCAGCAGAGGCGACTCAGACTGGACGTCGTCCTGCAGGACAGACTAGTCTCCTGTACATAATGAAACCTCTCTGTCTGTGCTGCCTTCAGGTCTGTGTCCCGACTGGGAAACATGGGATCCCAGTCAGCCAGTGGAGAACGCCCGGGAAGCCATGCAACAGGCTGACGATTGGCTGGGAGTGCCACAGGTAACACCTACCTGCGCACGGACTGCAACACATTCAGTGTCTGTTCTCTGAGTTTCTTCTTACTGATTAATAAGAAAATCAGAGCCAAAATCTAGGAAACAGCTACAAAATAAAAGCCTCTGCTTCACTGAACATGGATGAATCAGGGATAAGTTGACCTGTATGCTGTTTATATCTGCCAGTGAGCTTTGTGGTTCCTTTGAATTCAGGCTCAGAGGATATATTTGTTACGATTAAATTGAACTTCAGAAATAGCAGTCGTGGTTGAGCCATGATCCATGTGGACGATTCACACGCTCGACTCTATTTTCAGCCTGCAGAGATGTGAGCAGGCTGCAGTTTAAATTAGCAGCAGAGCAGATGAGTCAAAGCGATTGTTCACTCAGTAGTCTGAGGCACGAAGTCAGAGTCTGAGTTCAGCTGCTGCCTAATTTCTGCAGGTCGGAGGTGAATTATCCTCTCTAATTTCCCAGAAAGTTTAATCATAAAATTCAACTGCCAGAGTCGTTTAAATGAGAAAAGCAGAAATTTTTTAGTCAGAACTTGTAAAGAGAGGAATAATGTATAAATGTTTACACAAGAAATTAGAGGGAAATGATTTGGTAAGGAGAGCTTAAGTGGAAAAAACACATAACGATGACAATAATGATAAAACTCTTTGCACTGTTCTCAGGTTGATTCAGGCGGTTTTCCTCTGAGATTTCAGACGTCTTCTCACTCTCCTTCGCTGAGCAAGCAGCTGTTTACCATTTCACCAACCCCTCACATGTTCTGTTCTTTTGTTATTTATGTAATTAAAAAACAGATTTTCTGATCAGATGAAACCATTCATTTTGATTTCCCTCCAGTTTCTCTTCCATGGAGGATTTTGGACTCGACTCCCTCAATCTCTTATGAACTCACTCACTTCAGCTGTTGGAGATTAGAGACGTCTTTATCAAGGCCATCTGATGTGTTTCTGGCAAAATGAAATCGTTTTTAAGTTTCCAGCTGTTATTTTTTAAATAAGTATTTGCAGCTGGAAATGTATTGATTGTAACAGGTTTACTGACATGTTCACAAGCTCATCAGCTAATTTATGTCCTACCACTCTGAGCTTCACGAGAAAGAGCAGGGCATCCCCTAATCAGAAGGTCGGTGGTTCGATCCTAAGCGCCTCTATTGTGTGTGTATGTGTGTTTCTGGGTTAGTAAAAAATGCTTAAAGACGTAAATTATTATAACTTGTTGTGAAAAGTGCTTTGAATGCTGAGTTCGAGTAGAACATTGCTATAAAAGGACCAGTCCATTTAACATAGTTCCAACTGAAAAGCAAAGCAAAGAAATAAAACTGCAACTAAATCAGGAGATGTTAAGCATAATATGAGAAAACAAAGTTCTAGCTGCAAAACAATTTTCCTTGAAGGTTTTTAAACTTCTGAAAAAAATCGTCAGTAAATGGAAAACTTACCTTACCAGTCATACAGGAGAACCGTTAGCAAGGACATGTAGTTCCAGTTCGATAAAGCTTGAGTGTGTGGCTGCTGTGTGTTGAGCTGATGCAATTTTCCTCTTGTCCTTCCTCTCCAGGTGATTGCTCCTGAGGAGATCGTCGATCCTAATGTGGATGAGCACTCTGTGATGACCTACCTGTCTCAGTTCCCTAAAGCCAAACTGAAGCCCGGTGCCCCCTTGAGGGCCAAATCGCTACACCCCAAGAGGGCTAAGGCCTACGGACCAGGTGAGTGGAAAATGCACAGGAACAAAGTTCATTAATCAAACTTCAAGTTTTATTGAGGTTTTAGAAAAATTTCTGGTAGAATCGACTCATTGGGATTGTACAAAAAACGTATTGTAATACCTCAAAATTCCATCAATCATCATTTAGATATTTGTCTCATTACTCAAAACAAAGTATCTAATCTGAGGATGTCTTTGGGCTTATTTAACTACTTTTTATGTTTCATAGATGAAACACTGAAGTGGAAAAAGATCATTGCTAAATTTCCAGAATATTAAAATGTTTAATAAATGCAGATGCACATTTAAACTGAAATCATGCTCAAATAGCAATTTTATTTGTACTGTTAGCTGAATTAAAACAAGTTTTCTAAATATGTTATCGACATCAGCACATTACGGCCCTAAATCCAGAAACAGTCAACTTTATTGTAGCTTCTGTTATTAACACGGTAATACCACATCTGAAAAACTATGTCGCCATTTACGTAGTTTGATGCTATCGGAGGACTTTCACAAACATTTCCATTCATTACTTCAAACAATAAAGTTACGTGGGATCGCTGTGTTTGCAGGTATCGAGCCTCGAGGTAACATGGTTCTGAAACCAGCAGAGTTCCTGGTGGAGACGGTGGAGGCTGGACTGGGAGAAGTTCTAGTTTATGTGGAGGATCCAGAGGGACACACAGAAGAGGTGCAAACACACCCTCACATTAATTTAAAAGGACACAAAAGTTAAATATAACTGAAATTATGCTGCATCATTTCTGTCTCCATCAGGCCCGAGTCATCCCCAACAACGACAAGAACCGAACCTACTCTGTGGTCTACCTGCCCAAAGTGGAGGGGCTTCATAAAGTAAGAAGCTCTCACTGTACAGCTGAAAGAAGTACAGTGGTTCTTATGTTATTGATCAGAAATACAGGGCCATGGTTCCCAACGTTCTTCATCTGATGGACCTGCACAGCCTATAACATGGACCCAGAGCCCTTCATGTTTGAAGGGGAACCCATTTACATTGGACAAGGATGACTTTACCATTTAAGATAAATAAATAAATACAAATACAAATACATGTCATCATCCACAATCATTAGCATAACTGTTCACTGACTCATCAATAACTGCATTCTCTTTCACCATTAATTATCACTTTTAATCATGTATGCATATCTATTTGCTACCATTTATCAGTTCCTTTTAACTTTAACTGGTGATGTCTGCTCAATTTTGGTCTCTGTAATTTTTTTTTAATGTTTATGTTTGAGCTAGTCTTTCTGCAGAAGAACTCCCTGTGATGCTTATACCCCTGATTGGGGAATACTGAACCAATGACATGTGTAACTCACATGGATCATGTGTGGATAAAGGAGCTGTTTCTTGTGTTGTCCTTTTGACAGGTTCTGAATGTTTCCTGGTTCCTTTGTCTTAGCTTTTGTTTAGTTCATGGAAACACAAATTTATGTTTGTGAACCTAACAGGCCTTTGCGGTCCTCTCCCACTCAGGTAAAGGTGTTGTTTGCTGGTCAGGACATCGACAGAAGCCCCTTCATTGTAAATGTTTCAAAAGCCATGGGCGACCCAACCAGAGTTCAGGCCCGCGGGCTGGGACTGCAGCCAACGGGAAATGTGGCCAACAAACCTACATACTTTGATATTTACACTGCAGGTAAGTCTCATTGTATTGTTAGTTTGTCTGAGCTACATTCCCTTAATAAAAGAAAATTGATGAAAAGTTTTTCTTCCATCATTACTCTTGAAAGAACAAATTAAAACCAAAATTATGCACAAAAACATTTTGTGGTCTCTCGGAGGGACTCTGACTCTATATTTCCATTAGCTCTGGGTATCCACTGCTATATTTCCTGCAGATGACCTTCATTGTCTGATACTGTTCCAGTGACTGTCACATTCCTCCTCCATTGTTTAAAGGTCTTGTCATTCTCTGTCTGTACACCAGGAGCGGGTGCTGGAGATGTGGGCGTCATCATTGTGGACTCAAATGGCCGCAGGGATACAGTGGAGATTGTCCTGGAGAACAGAGGCGACAGTGTATTTCGGTGCACCTATGTCCCTGTCCTGGAGGGACCTCATGTCGTCTGTGTGACTTTTGCTGGGCAGCAGATTCCCAGAAGTCCTTTCACTGTCCACATCTCCGAAGGTGGGCTATTAACATTTACTTTATGTCTACAACACTACAAACTGACCTTTCTAACTCTTTCCTGCATTCTAGGTACTAGGCAGTTCCTTCAGTGATTTAAAATGAAAACCACAATTTTGTCCTAAAGCATGTCCTATCTTATATGTAATTCTTTAAATCTGCAGATATATTTTTATTTCATTCATTTAATATAGTCAACTTAAATATTTACAATATTTATTTTAAACATTTAACTGACCCTGTCTCTTATTGTAATACATTCACCAGCACAGATCTCTGATCAGCATGCGTGTAACATTAAACTTCAATGGATTTTGTAACAGGAACCTTACAAAATCCAAGTCCAGGTCTTCTGAGATTGTCTGTGCTTCCTTTATGGTTCACTCTATGGACTTTCATGTTTTTAGGCTGTGGTGTTTGATCACCTCCAGTTTGCTGGAACAGGATGTGGATATTTATATGGACTGGATTATGTCTGACTTGGCTGTTCTTGATCTGGGATTTGGCTACTTTTGGTTAGGACTTGTAAGTCATGTTTGGAGCGTTCCTAATTTGTCTTAACTTGGAGCCTAAATTTAGGGTATTATTGGCAACTTGGTCTTGTCTTGTAATTTGTTGCAGAAGTAGCCTTGGGATGTCATGTTAGATTAAACTAATTTGGAATTAGATGAGGGGATTTTTCAATATTGAACTTAAGAATCGCCTGTGATTTCCAAGGATTTAAGATATAAATCAGGACCGTGTTGATCCAGGACACTGGGTTTGGGAATAGCTTACCTTAATTTGAAGTCTAACTTGACTTATCTTTGAAAATGGGACTAGCCTGATTCAACTGACTTGAGAAAATTCCAGTGACTTGAGACTAACTTTGCAGAATTAATGCAGAATTAAACTTTATCCCAACTGTCTACGGGTTTGATTTATGTTGGTTAGGTGGTTAGGTCTGGAATAGTTTGTTTTGGGTTGACTGGATTTCCTATGTTTTATTTAGCATTGGTTTGTTGGTTGTGTTTGATTTGTTTTAGTTTTGTTTGGATTGATTTGGCTCGTTTGCTTTATTTTAGTGCATTTGGGTTGGGTTATTTTGGGTTTGCTTAGTTTTCGTTTGGTTTGGTTTGGGTTGATTTGGTTGAATTTGGAGAGTTCGTCTTGCTTTGGTGACGCTGCCCTTTAACCGATCTGGGTTCTGTCCTCCTTGTGCCGATGTACAAATGCATCATACTGTTATTCCCTCCTTCAGTTTCACAGAGTGTCCCTCCTCCTGGGTCTCCAGTGCAGATTGTACCTCAGTCCATACGCACCCCACCTGCTGACAAGACTAGGAGAGCTCCTCCTCCAACACCACCCAAACCCAGGCGACCAAGTTAGTACAGGCCATTGACAGGATGCAACTGGAGCCTGCCTGCGCTAGCCTGGTCTTTTCGACTCAAACTGTCTTCACTTTGGCCCCATATGGATGGGGGTTCCCTGCCTTACAGCATGTCCTGGCACTGCTTCATCCTGAGCAGCTTGTTCTTTTTCTACATCTCAGAAACTGAATGTGGTAGTCTAAAGCCCTTTTTGAATGGCATCAGAAATAATTAGGAATTATTTAAGTTCATCATTATTTTACCATTATTATTTTATTACACTTTAGTTCTGTAGAAATTCAAGCTTAATAATTTACATTTGGGTTGGTTGTGGTGTTCTGGGATGCATTTCGTCAAAACTATCTATCCTGAGAACATGTTGTTAGGTCAGTAGGTTGATAAAAGCAGCAAAGAAAGCAATTCCAAGTAACTCAAGCTATTTACTGCTCAGTTTTTTGTTTTTGTTTTGTTTTTTTAGCTCCATTGCCCACAGATTCAACTTTTGTGTCAGCAAAAATCCAGAATATTCTCCTGAGTGGGTTAGTATGTGTGGTGGGTCACGTCTTGTAAACATTTGGAGACTTTTGTTTGATTTAGATGGTTAACAAAAAATCTACAAGAACCGTTGAGGGCTGGAAAACGACACTGACAAAGCAGCCCAAGAACAGCTCAGATTTTCTTGGTATCACTTTTAATTTTAAGAAATTTTGTAGAATTGAACAGGGTTCAACTATATAAGGAGGTATTAAGAAAAAGTGTGTTATTAAGAAGATTCTGGGTTGTTTTATTGGTTTGAATCTGTAATTTGAATAACAACTAAACAGAATAAGAAGTGTTAATAACATCTTAGCAAAACAACAAAATTAACCACTTTAAAATAAAGTGGTTAGCAAGTGACTTCACATAATTATATATAATCAAAGAAGAGGCTTAAATGCCCGAGTGATCTTCTACTTGCTCCTCCCCAACATCATCATCAACCCTGCCTGTTCTTCCTCACGTCGCCTCCAGTAACTCTTCCTTCTGCAGCTAACCGACGCTCTATCCTCTGAGTGCATCGTGTTCTCAAATCTGATGCTTCAAACTTAAGTTTAAGTTTAAAGAACATGTCGATCTATAGCAAGTTTTTCCTTCTGTTTGCTATTAAGTTTGTGTGTATTTTGTATTTTTCTTGAATCTTCAGCTCTGAATTCTGATTTCATCACGTCTTCCTCTTTGCTGCTTTTCCCTTTCAGCCTCAGCAAACTGCATTTTATGGCGCTGATCAGCTGACTAATGAGAAACTCGTGCTGCTCTGTGTGTGTGTGTGTTGTTAGTATATTTTAGTTAGAATCACTGTGTACTGTTGTACACACAGTAATCATTTGAGTTCAATCAGCTGTGCACTGATCAGTCTGAGAGAGTAAATGAGTAACCTGTGAGATTGACTATTAATTTCTGAGACCAAATTAACTCCAACTCAGCCCTCCATTTCAAGCTTCATAGCTCCTCCATGATAGCACCCGACTTTATGGCTTCAGCTGGAGGAGACAGTTGGACAGATAAGACAGATTCTGATGATTCTCCAGAAGATTCAGTGTAGGATTACATAGGAAGTATGAAACAGGCTCTGTGTGTTTGTGTGAGTTTCATTATCATTTGAGCGTCGTTTCCCAGTCTAACCTCCATCTGACTGGTCCTTGCAGCCTGTAACCCAAACGCCTGCAGAGCATCTGGCAGAGGTCTGCAGCCGAAGGGTCTGAGAGTGAAAGAATTGGCAGATTTCAGAGTTTACACCAAAGGAGCCGGCAGCGGGGAGCTCAAAGTCACCGTAAAAGGACCAAGTAAGACAGCAAGACTCACCAACCCACGAGATTCACCAACTGGAGCTAAAATCCCTTTAAGGAAACACATTTAAACACAAAACTGAAGAGAACCCCTCTTATTTTTAGTACAGAACACTGACTATAGCTGATATTTGTGAGATTTTTAATGATGGATTCAGCACAGTATGGCCTTTCCAGAATATCCAAAAAGAGGTTTCTCCTGTGTATGTACATTTGTGAGTGTGTTTTACAAAATGTTTTTATTTTTGGTAATTGGCTTTATTTTCATTTGAAATTTAGCTCAGTAAAGGTGGGCTGATTGTGGATTATGTTTATTTTTAATATAGAGGGCCTGGAGGAGTCTGTGAATGTGCTTGAGATGGAAAATGGCCTGTATGAGTGTAATTATTACCCCGTCATGGCAGGAAAGTACATCGTAACCGTCACTTGGGGCGGACACAGCATCCCTCGCAGGTGAGGTTGATGGAGTGATTATACATACTATTACATTTTGGGGAGTTAACAGTGTTTATTACAGCTGTGCATTATGTCACATATAGTAACAAATGCATGCATTTTAATCATTTGGCCATGTGATGCCATGTAAACTAAAGATATTGAGGATCCAAGATTGAACCCTGAGGTACTCCAGTGACTTGTGTGCATAAATGTAAACATTTTTTTTTTTTATCTGAAGTAAAGATAAAAACTAATCAATTTGTTCTGTTTTTCCAGCCCATTTGAAGTTTATGTCAGTGAGGAGGCAGGGCTTCAGAAAGTGAGAGCCTGGGGTCCAGGTCTGGAGACCGGTATGGTGGGGAAGAGTGCTGACTTTGTGGTGGAGGCCATTGGAACTGAAGTGGGAACTCTCGGTTAGTTACAATAACATAAAGATGGGACTCAGGAAAACGTTAAGAGCTTAAGGTGCTGACTTATGGTCAAACGCAATCCACAGTACTTCAACATCTTGTTGAAAAAATATTTTTAAATTTAATAAGGATGTAACATTTCTGCTGCATCTATCAAACGAAACGAGACCAATCATATTACAGGAAATCTAACACCTCATATGTTTCAGTAAACAGCTACCAAACAGAACTCCACATCTTTTATTTGCTTAAGTGGTCATGGAATAACAACCTGCAGACCTACTCCTTATCAACAGTCTGGTTACTTTTGAGCATCTGAAAACAGGGCATTGTGTGTAAGATGTTTGCCACTGTCCAAAAGCCTCTGGATCTGATGGTATATCCTGCTATTTCTGTGAATATTTGTGTGTCATGTAAAGTATTAAACTCCATGGGCAGATCCCATTGTTTTCACATTCATCACTTATAGGCAGTGTTTAAATAACAGCGTCTATGTGTAGGTTTCTCTATCGAGGGGCCCTCCCAGGCTAAGATTGAGTGTGATGATAAAGGCGATGGATCGTGTGATGTTCGATACTGGCCGACTGAACCAGGTGACTATGCCGTCCATGTTATTTGTGATGACGAGGACATCAAGGACAGTCCCTTCATGGCCCACATCCTCCCTGCTGCCAGTGTCATCTTCCCTGAGAAGGTCAGATCAGAGCCTTGTTGAGTTTCAAACATTTTCCTGCATGTTTAATTTTTAAACATGTGATGTGTTTACTTCCTCAGGTGAAATGTTACGGTCCAGGTCTGGAGCCTTTGGGCTGCATTGTTAACAAACCTGCTGATTTCACCATTGATACCCATGGAGCTGGCAGAGGAGAGCTGAAGCTCTATGCTCAGGTGAGGATTCAGAGGCAGCCTCTCCATAATGTTTTAATAACACATTAACATCTTTTCAAAATCACACCAGTGTAAATCTGTTTGTGTTGTAGGATTCAGATGGTTTCCCCATTGACGTCCAGATCACAGATAATGGAGACAGCACCTACTTCTGTGTTTACATTCCCACAAAACCCATCAAACACACCATTATTGTCACCTGGGGTGAAGTCAACGTCCCCAACAGCCCATTCAGGGTATAAAACCAACACCAAATATAGTCTTACATTAAAGTCACTGAAGTATATCCTTTAAATCTGTTAATCCCACTCACAATGTCTGCAGTTTGTTGCAGTGTAAACTGGTCAATCATTAACATGAACATACAAATACCTTGCTCTTTGAATTATTACCAACTTACAACAGACACTATGTGAGATTAGTTTTAGCTTTGTTTTTTGTTAGTAATCAGTAAAACATTAAATGGAAAAAACTAAATTAACCTTTAACTTAAGCAGATGTCTGCTAAACACGATTTTTATTCGTTGAAGGACAAAATGCTGTCATGTAAATACAGAACTTTAGGGGACCCATAATAGAGCCTTGAGGTACTCCAGTGGCTGCAGTGTTTTATTAATAGTGTGTCGAGAGCTCAGTGTATCACCTCAAATGTTTCTTAGCAGAAAAAGATGAGTTTAAAATTTTCCTTAAAAGCATGGATGTTTATATTCCATGATTTCTTCCATATTTCAGCATTTGCATTTATTTGTTAGAGTCTAGATAGAAGCCAGGTTTATTGTTGCCAACAATGATGGTAATGTTGTGAATAAGGTGACTATCGGAGAGGGCAGCCATCCAGAGAATGTGAAAGTTTACGGTCCAGGTGTGGAGAAGACAGGACTGAAGGCCAACGAGCCGACTTACTTCACTGTGGACTGCAGTGAAGCCGGACAGGGTGAGACCTGTTTCATGTCTAATGTCCTCTTTTCATGTCCCGCCACCACAATGCACGACACATAGGAGATTGTTTTGTCTTTCTGATCGTTGAGCTTGATCTCCAATGAATGACTTTAACTCAGATTCAGACCAGCTGTGCAGCACACAAACATGCTGTAATGCCAAGTTTTGTTTTTATGAGTGTAATTAGAAAGAAATTAAATAGTACAGGAATACTGCTACATGATGTTTGAATATTACTGCAGAAATAACCTTGAATCTCTGTAATAGAGTTAATTATTATTTCCCTGCAGGTGATGTCAGCATTGGCATCAAGTGCGCTCCAGGTGTAGTCGGACCTGCCGAGGCTGACATCGACTTTGACATCATCAAGAACGACAACGACACATTCACAGTGAAGTACATGCCTCCGGGTCCCGGACAGTACACCATCATGGTGCTGTTCGCTGATCAGGTAAATGAGGGGTCAACAGTTGGATCAAATCTTAAATGCACATCTATGTTAAAACTGAATTTAAAAAAAACATCTCACACTTATTGTGTAAAACAGGAAATCCCTATTAGCCCCTTCAGAATAAAGGTGGATCCTTCCCATGATGCAGCCAAAGTCAGGGCAGAGGGACCTGGACTCAACAGGACAGGTGAGCTGGGTTTTATCACATTTGCGATCAATACAACACAAAAATCAGATACAAAACTGTGGAAGTGTTACTAATCACGTCCACATACAGGGGTCCACGAAGAGACCTGGTAATTAGTAAACCAGAGCTCAGGCTTCTTGGATGGTCTCTTAGTACAGTAATCACACAGCAGCCATTTTATTGGTTGGATGATCTCATATAACCCAGACCAGAAGCTGCTGCTGGCCTTCTACTGCTACTCAGTGGAGAGCGTGCTCTCTTCCTCCCTGGTATGCAAGGGCCACAACTGAGTACAGGAAGGCTGCGCAGAGGGTAATTAACACCACCCAAAAAGTCACTGGCTGCCCCCACCCCTGTCCACCCATCCACAAATCTAAACAATGGTCTGAGTAACCCTCATCACTCAGGCCACTCACACACAGACTCTGTTCAGACCAAGTCTTTTTGCACTACTTCCAAGTACTTTGTTCTCTAATTTGTGCCTTTCTCTTATTTTATATATTACCCTCTTGATTGTATATATTTTTCTGTTTTCTATTGATTCCAGCTGCCTACTATTTATAATTTATTCTGGCACAACTAGGGTGGAGCACCCACAGTTTTGATTTATATGTACAATGACAATAAAGGGTTATTCTATTCTATTCTTCTGATAATACAAACTTTAAATAATCTAAAGAGACTGTATCAGACTATAAACATCTATATCTGTTGTAAAGTTGGACATTTTAATCTTTAATTAGTCTGTTAGGACTGGCTCACTGCTGGAGCCCCTGTTCCCATCAGGGGGACAGCAGGTTTTAGCTTGTTATCTGTATTAAATTAGATAAAGTAAAATTTTATTTATATAGCACCTTTCTAGACAGAGAATCACAAAGTGCTGCACATAGAAGAACCTTATTAATAAAGTTTCTGTCTGAACTTTGCAGGGGTGGAGGTGGGTAAGCCCACCCACTTCACCATTTATACAAAGGGAGCTGGTAAAGCCAAACCTGAGGTCCACTTCACCGGAGCAACTAAAGGTGATGCCGTCCGAGACTTTGAGATCATCGACAACCATGACTACTCATACACTGTCCGCTACACGGCAGTGCAGCAGGTAACACACCAACTTCACATGTGTGATGGATTACCTGTGAGGTGACTGATGGACATAAGTTAAGCACTGCTTGTGTTTCTCTCAGGGGAGCATGTCCATCATTGTGTGTCATGGAGGAGACCCCATCCCAAAAAGTCCATTCACCATCATTGTGGCCCCCCCACTGGACCTCAACAAGGTCAAAGTTCAGGGACTGAACAACAGTAAGTCTGTGAGGAAAAAAATGGAACATTTATCATACAGAAGCAAAGTGCTTCCATACGGAGCCCTGATCAGGTTTCATGACGCAGCAGATGAAGCACAGAATGCGTGTTTCCAGCTAAATTCCTGGAATTATTCATCACAAATTCCTAAATACAAGCTGCTGTTTAGCTTTAGATTACAGGATGTTTCCATAGAGAGTCCTGCACAGTTTGGTACTAATTATAATAAGTGAGGTGGAGAGTAAATGATGGATTAGATGAGTAAACAAAAGAATCCAGGAGTTCCTCTGAAAGACAATCACAACCCCTTCATGGGGATCCTTAATGACTCTGAGCTGCTGTTCATTCAAGCTCTGTTTCATTAAATTTAATCTAACTGATGTGTAATTCTGATCTGCAGTGGAAATTTCTCTTCTTTCTGAATCATTTAACATAAAACAAGCTTGAACTGCTTAGACCGCTTTTCCATTTCGTTTATAATCGGTATCAAAGGATTCCAACAGAAATATCCCTTAATGTGCAGCCGAACACACGCCAGCATTTCCAAAAAAAATAGCTTTTCATCTTTATGTCTAAAGCTGCATCCACACAGGAAAAAATTCACATGGTGACAGGAAAATCAATGACATTCAATGATGTCACGCGTGACATAAACGTTTCTCAACTTTAAGGAGAGCAATTAAAGTGATTGCTAATTAGCTCAGGATACTGGTGAATGACATATGACTGGCTAGTAAATACATTAGAATGTTACCTAGGTAACTGGAGCCTGGTAGCGACCAACCATCAGGTTGAAAGCGATGCACGGTGAGTGAATTGTCCTCTGTGTGGGTACAGCTTAAAAAGATGTTCAGACTTCACTGTTATCAACATCCTAAACCCCAAACCCCTGTTCCTGCTGACCATCCTGCTGTTTCTGTGCACTAATCAGAAGTAGACGTTGGGAAGGATCAGGAGTTCTCCATCTGTACTCAAGGTGCTGGAGGTCAGGGCAAACTAGACGTGAAGATCACCTCCCCTTCTCGTCGACCAATCCCCTGCAAGGTAGAGTCGGGCACAGCCAATGAGGTTCATACAGTGAAGTACATTCCTCCTGAGGAAGGACCATACAGAGTGGACATCAGCTACGATGGGAACCCTGTCCCAGGAAGTCCATTCACTGTGGAGGGCATCATGCCCCCTGATCCTTCAAAGGTGAGTTAAGATCACAACAACCCACACTGATAGAATTTTAATATTTGTCAGAATAAGTAAAGACATGTGGTTATCCTAATTGGGCTTTCATCGAGTCAGCAAAGATGCACAGAAAAAAGTATCAGACACCAACTAGGAAGGATCAGAAAGGTACTTAGGACTTAGTTGAGAAATCCTTGTGTAAATCTTTACTTGTGTGAATGTTTTTCAGGCCTACCAGTTTAGTAATCCATGGATGTTCAGTCAATCATCTGTGCTGATTCTGGTGCAAACCTCAGACTTAAAGCTAATGTCTTCTGCTAACCAGCATTAATAAGTATTCCTTGTGTCTCTTCTGGTTTTTTTCATTTACTTTCCAGGTGCGAGCATATGGTCCAGGCCTTCAGGGTGGTGTGGTAGGCAAACCAGCCCCCTTTGCCATTGACACAAAGGGTGCTGGTACTGGTGGTCTGGGTCTGACAGTGGAGGGGCCGTGTGAGGCCAAGATTGAATGCCAGGACAATGGTGATGGATCCTGCTCTGTGTCCTACCTGCCGACTGAGCCTGGTGAATACGCCATCAACATCCTGTTTGCAGACCAGCACATCCCCGGTTCCCCCTTCAAGGCTGTGGTCCAGTCAGTGTTTGACCCCAGCAAGGTGACAGCCAGCGGCCCCGGGCTGGAGCAAGGCAAGGTCAACGAGGCTGGAACCTTCACGGTGGACTGCTCCAAAGCCGGAGAGGATGAGCTCACCATCGAGATCATCTCTGACTCTGGGGCCAAAGCTGAAGTTCACATTCAGAACAACAGTGATGGGACCTACTCCATCACATATATACCCCAGTGCCACGGCATGTACACCATCACCATTAAATATGGAGGACACATGGTGCCAAAGTTCCCCATTCGCTTGCAGGTGGACCCAGCTGTTGACACCAGCGGAGTGAAGGTCTATGGACCAGGAGTGGAACCCAGAGGTGAGCACTTAAAGATGTTTTAATGCCCAGTTAAAAGAAGGATGTCTGAGGTTTGTATACTTTAATCAAACACAAATGTAAAACAATATCTGGTCATCAAATTTGCTCATCGATTTTGTGCTCTAAACACGACAGAAAACTCAGTAGATTTTGCACACGTGTGAGAAGCTGTGAAAATGTACTGATTTTATTAGCTGTAAACATGCAGGGGTGCAAAATGCTTCCACAAAAACCCCTGCAAAATTTTAGTGACGCAATGCCACTGCCATGTATGTGTATAAAATATGATACACGCACCTGATATAAAAACATGTCCAGAAACGCCCCTGACCCTAACAGGACGTCTGCCACTAAAGATGCAGGGGTTTTGGTTCCTCTATGTTATGGGGTACACATTACCTTCTATTTACCTTAATAAACCATAGGGGAGCCTTTAACTTGTTTTCAGCCCTAATTAGCCTATCCGTCTCAGTGATTAGAGTTTCCAAACTCTCTGCTGTTCTGAGGTCTGTTTTTACGACGACAGGACTGTTTCCAGTGTGATCTGGTTTAGGCTCAGCTCTCTGTGGTTGGTTCATTGGCCTCCTGGACGCCACCAGACTCCATTATCACAGTTAATAAACTCCCAACAGCACATTTAGTTTGTATGTTGTTCTTTTTTTAATTATTACGTTTTTCTTTCCGTATTTCGATTGCAGTCTTTATTAAATTGAGATTAAAGTAAAACCAATAAAAGAGCACTGAAGTCATAAAGTCTTATAATGAGAACAAATGGGAGAAGTTGCTGAATGCTCACGTTACTAATTTAATCAATAAACAAAGAGCAAAGAAGAAATGAGTGCTTGTTGCATTACTCTGATGGATTTATCCTGAAACAACCTTTGGTCCTGATCTAAGTCATGCTGTGAAAGTTAAAATATGAGGCTGGAAAGTGATAGAACATCATACCTCTAACAGAGCCACGGCATCCAAAATAAACTTGTTGTTCTATTCAATCAGACCTGAAAGCAGCGACTGAGAAAGAGTTTGCTGAGCTCAGAGACTTTTATCCAATCAGACTTCACTGGAGTCGCCCCCTGCTGGAAATGACAGAAAATGCAGCACTAGAAGCTAAAGTCCATCTTTTGTAATAACTATGATCTGTGTTAATGATACACGTTTTCTATCATGTTTGGGTTTTTTTAAATTTATGTGACTGGAACCAAAAACATAAATTAAGTGATTAATATGGCTGATTGTTTGTAAACTGAACACGAATTCTGTAGCACTTTAAATAATCTGTTCAGTATGACTGTATTCAGTGAAACATTTCAAATATTTTACTGTCTTTGGATATGATTAAAAGTGATGAGTCGTTCTCTGCATCTTGGTAAAAAATGGGATGTTATATTTCATGGAGACATTGACTAACTTTCTTCTCTACTTTTTTGTCTTCGTGCTGCTTTCCTCTCCGCAGGCATCCTGAGGGAAGTAACCACTCATTTCATCGTGGACGCTCGAGCTCACTACAAGAGCGGTGGCAGCCATATCAAAACCTCGATCTCAAATCCGTCAGGCACCAACACAGACGCCTACGTCACCGACAAGGGAGATGGGACATACAAAGTCGAGTACACACCGTATGAGGACGGTAAGCCTGAGACCTGTGTGTTGTTTGTGAGCCTGGCTGCAGATCGTCAGCAGAGACAGAGGACGGGCAAGACGATGGTTTGCTGCTGGTTTGTGGGTGTTTTTCCACTGCAACACCTCCTAATTGTGAAATAAAATTCCATTTGGCTTTCATAAGGCTTGTTTTCCCTCGCCAGCCATGAAGGACTGTTGGCTGAACTGCGGTCAGTCTGTGTACAGAGGGGTTAGCAGCAATCAACATCCAGGGCATAATTACCATTCCAGAGCAAATATATCTGATTTAATATTTAAGTGCCTGAAGCTCAGACAAATATCTGCTGCTCAAAGCTTAACCCTGCATGTGCTACTGTTATAGTCAGTTATAGTAATGTACTGAACATCAGTTACAATGATTGGATTCTGGTCCTTTAACCTCTCAGTGAGGAGCGGGTTTGGACCAAGGGTATTTATAGCTGCAGTCTGTCGGCGCTCAGCAGATGGTTTTCCACTGATAGTGAAGTGTGACATGTTAGAGTCCATTGCATTGTGGGAAAGAAATACTCAGTCAGACTGGAATTTTAATGGAAGCTGATTCTTTGTCTGGTTTACTCCCACTCTGCCTGAGAGGTTGCTGGTTAAAAACTGAACCGTGGGGTAAAAAAAATGAGTGACCATTAAATGTTTGGGTTACTTTGAAACAACACACTCAACAGCTGAAGACGGATAAATAAATAAATGTGTAAAGCATTTAATTTGTATTTCTTCGTATACAAGTTTAAGAGAACAAACAAATTACAGAGCAATGAGGAGGTTACTCAGTGACATCTACACATCGGATCACTGCAGAATGGTTTCACCCACATTATCTTGACTCTATCCATTAAAATACTCACTTTTACTGGACTCTTGTTTGCTGAAGGTTTACATCTGATTGAAGTTCTTTTGGATGACATCTCGGTGCCAAAGAGTCCGTTCAGGGTGTCCGTGAGCGAGGGTTGTGATCCCAGTCGAGTCCGAGCCTACGGTCCAGGTTTGGAGGAAGGACTGGTGAACAAACCAAACCGATTCACTGTTGAGACCAGGTATCGTCACTCTGTTTTTAAATCCAGAATAGATTTTATAGCATCCATAGATCTCTGTTTAAACATCCTAAACTTCCTTTTTGTTTCATGCGTGCCTCAGAGGTGCTGGCACTGGGGGACTTGGCCTGGCCATTGAGGGTCCATCAGAGGCAAAAATGTCATGTAAGGACAACAAAGATGGCAGCTGCAGTGTGGAGTATATCCCCTTCACACCTGGAGAATATGACGTCAATATCACCTTTGGAGGCTTACCGATCCCAGGTGAAGGTCACTTAACCCTGTAGGGTGTGGTTTGGATATAACTGACTCTGCGCTTTTCTAAGGAAAAGATATCTGCAATCAAGAGCGTCTATTACTTCACTTGTCTTTCAGGGAGTCCATTCCGGGTCCCAGTGCGAGAGCTGGTTGATCCCAGTATGGTGAGGTGTTCAGGTCCTGGCCTTGGAAGTGGAGTCCGGGCTCATGTTCCTCAGACCTTTACTGTAGACAGCAGCAAGGCAGGGCTGGCTCCCCTGTCAGTTCAGCTATATGGACCAACAGGTAAGATTACAAAGACTTATTAACCTCATAACATTGCCCAGGCCATTGGTAACCAGGAAAGCTGTTCCAAAAAAGCTGCACCTGCCTTACCTTATACCCGTGGGACTTCCAGTCAGACCAACTCATTATCAAGCTGGAGTTAAATCTTTCTTTAGTAGTATTGTCATGAAACTCTCCCATTAGCTTTAATCAGCTGATATCACCTCATTGTGGCCTTGCCCTGTGCTCTGGTTTGTCTTCAGGTGTAGCTGAGCCACTCAACATCACAGATAATGGTGATGGCACTCACACGGTCAACTATACTCCTGCCAACGATGGCCCATATACGGTGTGCGTAAAGTATGCCGACCAGGAAGTGCCCCGGAGGTTGGTATTGAAGAGAAGCGTGTACAAGACAGTTCTGGTCCTTCAGGGTCAGATTTAACCTTTCTAACTGTCTCTTCAGTCCTTTTAAAATCAAGACGTTACCGGCTCATGATGCTAGCAAAGTTCGAGCCAGTGGTCCCGGTCTGAATGCATCTGGGGTTCCAGCCAGCTTGCCAGTGGAGTTCACCATTGATGCCAGAGATGCTGGAGAAGGACTGCTCACCGTCCAGATTCTGGTGAGTCTCCTGTCCTGAAATCATCATTGTGCTGCCCGGTCAGTGTTTGGCAGGGAGGTGTCTGTCGTGTCTTGTTGCTCTTCTGTGACCTGTTTCTGACTCACCCCGATTCAAACACAGACCGGCGGGCTTGTTGCTGTCACTGCAGGGTCCAGACGGCTGCAGTCGCGAGGCTTCATTGTTTGTGGAAGACTGGGGCAGGAGGGTGTGGGAGACTCACATAGTAAAGAAAACCATCCCCTTCAGTATTCTTAGGAGAGGCTCTGTAAGCCCTGCACTCTCTCCCTTCACCTCCTTCCCCCTTTACCTGTCTCTTGTCCCCCCGCCCAACCCACCTGTTCTCCCCCGCTGACTGCCTCCTCATTGTGTAGCCTTTGGCTGTTTTCACCGCTCTTATATTCTGCATAAGATCTAAAGTGTGAATATTCCTGTGACGCTAATAACATCCATGAAACTCATTATTAGTTTCATGGATGTTATTAAAAACTGAGACTCAAAGAAAGAATAGCTCTTATAATCAACTCCTTAATATAGAATCTTATCTGTTAGTTACACTTAAATGGAAATCTTATAATGGAAGAACTGTAAGGATAAAATAAGAGTGAGAGAACGAATTTCAGCCCTTTCCCTTAGCAGTTCACATCTGATCTGGCAGATGGTAGGATGTTAGGTAAATGCTCTTAGTTAAAGCCTTTTAAACGAAGCTCATAGTTTCCTGTGTTAGAGTCCAAGTACTTGAAATATCACTTTCAATGTTCATCAAATCAACAACAGATTCAAAAAATTATCTGCTGGAACGTTAGAAGCAAATTTTCATTGGCAGCACTTTGCTTGGCTTCCACCCCTCTGTGGTCTGCACGTGCACTGACTCCATTCAGTTTGTTTAACGAGTTAACAGACATATTTGATTTTGAGTTGTTAACTAACCAGAGTTTTTGGTAAACCTGCTTCCATTCAATGATCCATCCATCCACTTGTCTGACCTGTCATTGCTGCAGTGAATAGTTAGATCCTGTGAGAACACTTGTGGACGTGACAAGCCCACTGCTCTCAAACCATCAGCGGCCATCAGGTCTACGATAGTGTTCATAATGCTGTAGCTGTTAATCTTTCTGATACACACTTTAGTTTTTCACATGGATATAAGCTGTAGATGCCTGCTTCCACACAGCAGGGGGCGCTGCTGCACAGGGAGGTTAAATCAGATTTTTTTTTTTTTTTTTTTTTACGCCTGTTTTTATATTCAACTGCTCATTGCTGACACAGTGAAAAGTTTTAGATCCAGAAGTCTGAATTTCATGTTGGTTGTTTGATCTCTAACATATTTGTTTATCCAGAAAATCTGTTTTGTCCTCTTCTTCTGTGCAAGATACAGAAACCGGGAATTACCAATACTGCAATGAGAAGTATATTCTACTTTGTACAAAAGCAGGGGCAGGATGAGCAGTGCCAGAGCCCTACAGAATGACCTGCAGCAGGCTACTGGTGTGAATGTCTCCGACCAAACAATCCATTGATTGCATTTATGTATCACAAAGATTCCTAAAAATCATCAAAAGAAGTTGGAAATTATCATTAGAGACCAAAACAGTTTCTGTATCAGGTTGTAAAGATGTTTATTTCTAATGTAAGGTTTTAACTGATGCACTGCTGGAACCTCTGCTGGACATCAGAGGAACTGCAGGTTTGTAGCTTCAGTGTCGCTTCCACCCAGCAGTTCAGTTTGTTTGTGTCCACACATGAAGAAATGAGCCTCAGTCTGGTGACCAAGAAGATCTCTGATCTCCGTAAAATAAAATTAATTTGACTTCATATTACTTTTCCCTTTTCTTACTATCGATGGCAGATGGTAGGAGACCAGTGATGGGCAATGGGACCTATTTATGTTTTCTGTACCCCAAACATGACTAACTTCTTGTCTGTACGCTTCCAGGATCCAGAGGGAAAACCCAAGAAGGCGACCATTCGAGACAACAGAGATGGGACTTACACAGTGTCCTACGTGCCGGACATGGCGGGCCGCTACACCATCACCATCAAATACGGAGGAGATGAGATCCCGTACTCACCTTACCGGATCCACGCCCTGCCCACCGGAGATGCCAGCAAGTGTCTGGTCACAGGTTAGGCTCCACCCATCAGCACTGAAACTTAAACTTTATCATTGGAAGCTTAGCAGCATCACTGATTGTAGTTGTTTTCCTACAGTGTCGATTGGAGGACACGGACTCGGTGAGTGGCCTCAACTTTCTTAGACTCACTGAACGCCAACAGATAAACAGCATTTCAGTTTTGCATAAAACAGCAGCTGCTTAACTAACCAACCAGCAACTACACATATATACTGAACGGTGGATATTTAAAATGGACACTGATTCATTGAGTTTAATGTTTTCTCAAATTTTGGTTCTAGCATCTTGTACCAGAACACTTAGACTAGCTTGTGTGTGTTTTGTTGTGTGTGTGTGTGTGTGTGGTGGGGGGGGGGGGGGGGGTGTTTGGGTGTTTGCTTTAAAAGGTGTTAAGATACCATTCCTAGTAGTAAGGGTCACCTCAGAAGTTATTATTATTAATAATAAGAATATAAAATTAGCTGGAAGCTGTTATATATGGAAGGAACTGAATAAAATAAGATGCTAAACATGCAGTGATTTCTGTTCTCAGAGGCCAGAAGATGGGCTGGGAGTTTCTCTGAGCTTTCAGAATGAGTGACGGGAAATTCGCTAAGCAATGGCTAAACTAAATCCCAGTACGCGCTGGGAACTGGACATCTGTCAGTGCAGCTTGAAGCTACTTAAAAATGTTTTGGTGTGTAGGGTGGAGAATTAAAAATGCTTGGAGGTCACTGGATAAACTCCAGTGGACATATGTGTAACTACCCACAATTACTGTCACTGTATTTGTCCAGTCAGTCTGTCTGGAAAACAGAAGGAAATCCAAGATTTATTATAAGTATGTTTTGCACTTTAAACCCACCCAAACAAATTCAAACACACTCAGTGCAAACTGAAATAAATGACAAAGACTTTAATTTATTTTTTTATTTAAGGGTTTCTATTTTGCAATAAACACATTGATAATAAACAGAATAGAGATTAACAACCCACTCTAACAGCTCATTGAGCAGCACTCACTCTGAGGCTGGGTACACCACCGTTATCAGAACCTTTTTCTTATAATCACTGCTCACGATCACTCTTAAAGCTTCCCCTAATCAACTCAGCATCATTCTAAACATTTAACCTCCCTGGTATTAGTGTGTGCTTTCTTTCATTAACATTAATCACTTCAGAAATCACTGCTTTGACTCTGTTGGTTCCACAAATGTCTTGTCAGGTTCAGGAATTGGACCAACCATCCAGATCGGAGAGGAAACAGTCATCACCGTGGATGCAAAGGCTGCAGGGAAAGGTAAAGTCACCTGTAAGGTGTCAACGCCGGACGGAGCGGAGCTGGATGTGGATGTAGTGGAGAACGCAGATGGGACGTTTGATATTTATTACACGGCTCCAGAGCCAGGGAAGTACGTCATCACCATCCGCTTCGGAGGGGAACACATTCCTAACAGCCCCTTCCATGTCGTGGTGAGTCACCACCCTGAAAACACCATGATTTGGGCTTAGCTGATTTCAGTTTGGGACTGAGTTGGGGTCAAGTGGTCAGGTTAGCTTTGTTTTGCTTTGACTTTCTGGCCTGTTATTGTTGGTTTTATGGGGATGGATTTGGGATAGTTTAGGTTGAGGTTAGTTTAGGTTGGGTTAGGATTTTTTTTTCTTGGTTCAGAGTGGTTTTGTTTGGGATTTGTTGGCATGAGTTTGGTTTGGCTTTGGTCGGGTTTTTGTTTAGGGTTACATAGTTAGGTTTGATTTGGGATGGTTTGAACTGGTTTGGGGCAGTTTGGTGTTTGTTGGGGTTGGTTTTGGGATAGTTTAAGTTGGGGTTTTTGGATTGGGTTTTGTTTGGTTTGAAGGTCAGTCCTTCCAAGGCTTCTTCATGTAAATACCAAAGTAGTTTTACGCCTCCAACTATCTCAACCCATCTGAATCTATCAGATTTGGAGCCACTGGAGATCGATTAGCTAATGGCTCATTTATTTAACACTCTGTATAACTGCATGTCTTTCACAACTGATCTTGGGATTTTTTTTTTCATGAATATTAGTTGTCACTATGAAAAAACAAATATTAAAATTATTTAGTTGACCCCCAAACAAAACAAACTCTTTGAATAAAACTGTGAAACTGTGAATTCTTCACAGCATTGACACGATGGAGAAACCTCCAGTTTAAGGAAAATAAATGTATTATTATTTATTATTTTGTTCATCTTTTTGTTTTCTTTTATTTTTGTGGCTGTTTTTGTATTTTTTTGTATCTTATGTATGTATTTGTTTTATGTCTCATTTTTTATTTGATTTTAAGTTGCAGTCTATTTTATCCTTAATTTTTCTTTGACTATTTGTTTTAATTTTGTTTATTTGTTGTATTGTTCCATATTTTAATTATGTTTCAGATTTATTTCCTGAAACTGTGGAAAATTGCTGCGCTTTTTGGTCTGTTTGTTTCTGGTTTGCTTGTGTTTGTAATGGCTGCACCTTGTTCCTCGTCAGGCAAGTGATACCATCCCAATAATAGAGGAACCATGTGACAAGCTTCAGTTACAGCAGCCCTACTCTCCCTATGCGGCCTTCTCCCCTCAATGGGTATCATCATTACCTCCACACCTGCTGTTTATCTGCCGCTGCGTCTCCTCTTCATAAAAACCGTCATCTGTTCCTCGCTTTGCCCTCCATCACTGCAGCGTTTCCTGTCCCACAGTCGATACCGACCCACATTCACTTATTGATTGATCTCTGGCTCAGCATGAGGCTGCATGTTTAATCTGCATGATCATCATCTCCTGCTGGGAGGGCAGCTGGGGGCTACTCTTATTAACACTACCCTCTGATTTTTACCCTCTGACTGGCTGATATCAGAGACAATTCAGCATGTCAACTTTTCTTCAACATCTGGAGAGTAGCTGATCCAGATGTTCTGACAATGTGATGATTTTAGAGAAATAGTTTCAAGACAGATTTGATCTGTTTTGTATTATTTCAGAGAATTGTGTATTTTCTTTGGAAAGAAACTATAACATTCGGATTGTCTACATTCAAAGGAACTACTTCCTCTTCCGCCTTTCATAGTCATGTGCGAAATACGGCTGTATAAATGTCTCGCAGCCCCTTGGCGTGCGCACTCACAACAATGGCTGAGCGTAATTGTGCGGACGTATTTTACCTCCACAAACAGCCGGGTAGTACGTCACGAGCTGGAGTGAAACTGCCGTCTGCTCCTTGCTATCTAATACATAACCGGGCGCTGACGTAAACGCTTCTGTTTAATTATTTTCTGTTTGACGTTTATTCAGCTGTGTGAAAACCCCGAAGGGATTAATAAAGTTACATTTAATTTAATCTAATCTAATAACTTTAATCTCAGCCAAACCGATTTAGTCACGAACAAATAAAACACTGAAAAAGCCAAACAATAACATTTTTAAGTTATCAAAGTGACTATATCATGTTTAACCCGAGTAGCGAAAGACCGCGGGGGTTTGAAGAACGATGTTGGATCGGCTCAGATATTTGAAGTTTACACAGCTACATTCTCACCTGAAAATATGTTAAAAGTTTTTTGCGACCCAGAAAGAGAAATAAGAGTAATATTAAAACTAAGCAGCTGCCGCCATTGTTGGAAACTGGAATTGGCTGGGCCGCGACTATGAATTCTGCGATATGGTTTTTCAATTTTGTTGTCCGGGTGGAAAATCGGGAGAAATTCGGGAGAATGGTGGCTCCGGGAGATTTTCGGGAGGGGCACTGAAATTCGGGATTCTCCCGGAAAAATCGGGAGGGTTGGCATGTATGGTTGTGGCAACATCACTAACCTTGTCAAACACCTCAGAGTAAATCATATCACAGAATATGACGAGCGTATGTTGAGGTGAACTGAAGAGGAGAGGGACAGGTGCTGCTAGGGCGAGACAGACGTCTCTCACGGAGTCCTTTAGTGCTGCAGGCAGGCAAGGTGTTCAAATAGCACAACTTCAGTTTTTTATTTCTATATGATGAACTCTGCATTATTAAGTGATAAGAACAAGTAATCTGATGTCCTGTAATCATTATAATTACAATAAATAAAAATAAGTTTTTGTACAAAGTATCGGTATCGGATCAGTATCGTCGATACCACCCTGAATATTCTTGGTATCGGATTGGAAAGAAAATCAGTGGTATCACACATCACTAGTTACAGCCCGATTTGCAGACGCTTGGTTAGTATCAGGTAAATGTTAAGTGGTAGGAACGTTTCTGCTGGGTTGTTGTTGTGGGGGGGGATGAAAAATAATAAAGGACACTCATTGGAGTAATGGCGCAGTCGTCTGTTCTGTACGTTAGCAGTCAAAAACATCAAGAACTGACAACACCCCCAGGGCTTGCTCTGTATGATCCAAATGCTGAAACGTGCGTATCAGCTGATTCATCTTCGTATGGCTTGGGAGCAGTGCTTCTCCAGCGGCACGCCGATCTAGGGTGGAAACCAGTAGCATACGCTTCAAAAGCTCTCAGCGCGACAGAGCAGCGATATGCTCAAATTGAGAAGGAGGCCCTCGCTTCAACATGGGCCTGTGAGAGGTTTGCAGAGTTCCTAATTGGGAAAACATTCCACATTGAAACAGACCACAAACCTCTGGTCTCGTTGCTTGGCTCCAAGGGCCTGGACGAGCTTCCACCTCGTATACAACGTCTACGCATGCGATTGATGAGGTTCTCTTATACCATATCTCATGTTCATGGTAGAGACATTGCAACAGCAGATGTACTGTCCAGAGCTCCTGTATGTGACACAACTGAGGGTTTGCCGGAGGAAGAAATCAACTTGTATGTGGAGTCCGTCATAGCAAGCCTGCCAGCCACAGAGCCACGACTCAGAGAAATCCAGACACATCAGGACAATGACAGCATTCTAAGCCAGCTGAAGAAGTTCTGTGTGGAAGGATGGCCAGATAAGTACTCCATCGAAAGGGTTTTCCAGCCTTATCTGCCATTTTCAGGTGACCTCACAGTCCACAATGGTTTGCTTCTTTATGGGAGCAGAATAGTGATTCCCACATCACTCAGAGCAGACATTCTGTCTAAACTACATGAGGGACACCTAGGAATAACAAAATGCAGAGAGAGAGCTAAACAATCTGTTTGGTGGCCAGGCCTGAGCAGTGAGCTGATAAAAGTGATTGGGACCTGTGACACTTGCTGCCGTGAGCGGACTAACCACAAAGAAACCATGCTACCTACCGAGTTCCCACAAAGACCGTGGGCCATGGTTGGAACTGATCTGTTCCAGATAGAGAATAAACAGTACCTGGTCATTGTGGATTACTTTTCCAGATTCTTCGAAGTTGCCAAACTGACATCTACAACATCAGAGGCAGTGATCGAGCACTGTAAATCAATCTTTGCACGTCATGGCATACCAGAGCGGGTTCGCTCTGATAATGGACCTCAGTTTTCGTCTGATTCCTTCAAAAGATTTGCACAAGAATGGGGTTTTAGCCATGAGACATCCAGTCCCCACTTCCCTCAGAGCAATGGGGAGGCCGAGAGGGCAGTCAGGACCATCAAAAGTCTTCTTAAAAAGTCTGGCGATCCCTATCTCGCCCTTATGGCATACCGGGCCACTCCATTGGCAAATGGCTACAGCCCAACGGAGCTTCTCATGGGTAGAAGGATAAGGACAACTATTCCTGTCATCCCATCACAGCTAAATCCAAGAGGTACGGACACAGACAAGCTCAAAGCTATAGAACAATCGTACAGACAAAAACAAAGACAAAACTACAACCGCAGACACAGAGCACATGATATGCTACAGCTCAATCCTGGAGACAAAGTGTGGGTCTCAGACATGGATACTAGAGGGACAGTCGTGTCCATGGCAGGCTCACCGAGGTCCTACATCATCGAGACAGCAAAGGGCACGCTGAGAAGAAACCGTTACCATCTTACATGGACACCTGGGGCACCGGAGACTTCTGGCGATCCACCAGAGGCTTCACCTGAGAACTCTGTTCCAGCTGCACAGATTGTGTCGGTTCCAGACACTATCTCACAGGAGGCCAGCCAGCAGACTCCTGAAGCTGGGAGCCAAATCCCACCCAGGTCTAGGAGGCCTCCAGCATACCTAAAAGACTATGTTTGCTCATAGGGCTGGAACTGAGTGAGCAATGGGGCAGAATAATCCCCACACTCAGGCTGAGGGCTGGGTAGTCTACCCCATCCCTCATAGAGACAATGAGAAATAAAGCAAATGGTTGCACTGTTTAAACATGTTGTTTGTAGCTGCACCAAATAGTTCAGAAATGTGCACTTATGCTTAGTGTTCAGAGTTGTATACTTTGAGAGTTTATTTTTGGACATTCTGAGTAGTCTGGTTTGAAACCAACGAGTTCAGTAAACAAGCTGTTACCAGATAAAGCACAAGGACATAGTAATAGTATACTTTAAAGCGTGCGGGTCTAATCTGTTTTCTTGGTTATATTCCAGCATCACATCCTATTTAGTAGGGGGGATGTAGTATCAGGTAAATGTTAAGTGGTAGGAACGTTTCTGCTGGGTTGTTGTTGTGGGGGGGATGAAAAATAATAAAGGACACTCATTGGAGTAATGGCGCGTCTCGTGTGTCTGTGAGTTATGCCTCCAGTCAAATAACATCCATAACCTCAAATAACGTAACAGTGCGCAGAGGTTCAGGAGCAGAAGTTCCATTGTAAACATACCACGGCAGACCAACGATGTTTCCATGAACATGCTTTTCAGCATCTCTTTATTGACCACTTTTCACACACGGTTGCTGTACGCATACAGCCGGCTGAGCTTTTCAGCTCACAGCCCGACACACACCAACACAACAGCATAGATAGCACAGACGTTAAGGCGGCGAGGCGTGATTGCGGGTGCCGCTCAGGTGCGTCCGCCTCCCCTGCAGCGGCGCTGCAGACCACGCCCCGCCACACACATTAACCAGGTAAAATACATATTTAGGCAGAATTTTGCTAAT